AATATCGTTCGGTTAAATAGCATTTAGGTATAAATATAATTGCACTTTTGTGATTAGCCCTCGGTCTGTAACGTGCAAAATAAATTGTCAAATACGCAACTTTTTCGGGGTGGCAGCACGGTCGCGGGTGTTATGGCGCCGTTCAAATTTCGTAGCGTTGATGTGTAATTAATTATAACAATTAAATTGGGTATATCTGGTAACAAATACGTGTGGGTATAGACGATTTGTTATACAGTAAGTACAGTTGTATGCAGTAAAATCCTAGAGGCTACTGTCCCTTTAAATTAGGTATCTGGTAACAAATACGTGTGGGTATAGACGATTTGTTATACAGTAAGTACAGTTGTATGCAGTAAAATCCTAGAGGCTACTGTCCCTTTAAGCCACAATGCTTGCTATTAGCAGAGTAATACCGGTCTTGTATCCGTCCGTGTACATGGGCGTGTATCTGTGTGTACCCGCATGTTCATAGTTCTGTGAAACGTTGAAGTATTACACTTTATATATTCAATGTCAATGAATATGTTTTGTGTCCTTTGCAATGCCAGTGGTAGTTTTAAATGTTGGTTAAAATGATGATATTTCTATCTACTGTACTCAGGACCATATATCCATGAACTGGGAGCCTTCATTTCACTATGAACCAATTGATGGTGCGCAAGATTGCAGCTAGACTGGCTACGAGAGAGCTCTGAGGTTTCTGCCATTAGCGTGTCCTGGTTGCTAATGTCAATCTAAGAAGATGAGGACGCGTTCAACCTCAATGCTGTTACGGTCGGCACCATTTTGGAGACTTGCAATATCCCAAAACTAGACCGAACTAGAGACGCGGCGTTTGTAACATGTTTCTATATTGAAAATGAATTTTAACGTTCAGAAGTGTATTTTTGAGAGTAATGGGGTTTGGGTGTGTGTGGTCACATAGTCGTGGCTTTTTTTACGAGATTACGTGGAGGTTAATCGCAAAGCCCTGAAGTTGTGTGAGCTCTATTTTTTACTGTCCTATTTGACCAACTGGAAATTAAACTTTTATTAACACGTAAAACGATCGCCATTTTCAACTTGATAGTTGGTATTTAAACATTTTATTAAATACTTTTTATTAAAGTTTTCTGTACAGAAAGACGTCAGTGATTTAAGATTCCGGTGTTCCGGATATCATTTTACTGAGGCATTGACTTATTGTTGTGCTAGACAATTAATGTGTGTAATAGCAGATAAATGCATAATAACTGATGTATAATATTTTTCTTAGACACGTGTATAACGTTCCTATATGGTTGTGGTAATTTTCACTGAAATTTTGCCGTATGTATAGGCCTACTGAAGATATAAACAATGAGACGTGTTTAATTAAATGCGATGACGCGACGAAATGTTTGTATACTTGCTTAATACCACTGAGCTGTATATAATAACGTTATTATATTATACTTAAATTATCATTATATACAGCTCAGCGTTTAATAAATTATAGTATGTTCTGACGACAATTTTAGAGAGCCATCTGCAGGAACATTTGGATAATGCTTGCTAATGCTCCATGGTCTGAAATTGGCGATTGCATCCATACAGAAAAATGTAATTAATTTGAGTTAGAAATATATGCATTCAAGTATACATACATGAAGTTGCATATTTGCAGGAGTAGATAATAGGGAGGAGTGTGACATCAATAAACAAGGGAAATTCGTCATTTACTAGCCTTATAATACCTACGATTTACTACGCGTAACTCATCCAACTTGAGCTCAAATCGGACACAGTACATTCGCCCATCATCGTACGAAATCGTTTCCTCGTAGACACCCGCAATCCGTAGATACAGCCTAAAACGTTCGACACGATTCTCCATTCTCTGGCCATTAATCCAACGCCCATTGCGCGCCTATAATTCAGACAAAAGGCAGCAACCTGGCACGCAGTCGCTGTGTTTGCTCTCTCGGATAGCTGAATGTGGCGTTGTGGCTCGCAGGGAGAGTGGAGAGTGACGCAACACTCGACGAGCTAAACATTGGGTTGGCGTGCGTGCGTGAAGGCATGCCAGTATGATACAAAGGTGGCTGTGGTAGCTTGATGTCCGGGTCACAAGGCGTTATCCGCGATCGTTGATCGCCTACATCTCCCGCGAGCCACAATTGCCTCAAGTCAGTAGCATAGCGGTTAGGTAGCTGCCTTTTGTTTGATTATAGGGCGCAATGGGTTGAGATTGATGGCCAGCGAATGGCAGAATCGTGTCGGTACGTTTTATGGCTGTATGCTACGGATTGCAGTGTGGCTCTCGAGGAAACGATTTCGTACGATGTATGGGGCGAATGTACAGAGAACCAGCGGGGCGCTCAGTGTGTGCGATTTGAGTCTCAAGTTGGATGAAGTACGTGTAGTAAATCGTAGTATTATAAGGCTAGTAGAATGCACGAATTTCCCGTTCGTTTATTGATGTCACACTCCTCCCTATTATCTACTCCTGATATTTGTTAACTTCTGCCAACTTGCTAATGACTCTGATTATCGATTATTGCTACTTGATACTGACAGATGGCGTTCAGACCTAACGGTAACAATATATGGTTGTATTGTAACATATCAGCCGGTCTTGAGAATCTCCTTATGGCAATACTCAGTAAGTGAACAAGCTGTTACTGCAACTCAGCGAAAAAACGAGTTTTATAGTGAACTCTGTAATATTGTAAATATGATAACACAATCTTATTTCACTCATTAGTTCCACGCTGCTTTTTATTTACAAATAAAATCTGTCAATATTAAACATTGATAACATGTTATTTAAATTCTTCTTGTTTTTGAGTGACTCCCATCTTCATGCTACTCTTAACTTAAAATTATAATTATTTCCAAGGTGTTTAAACATAATAGAGTAATCGTAACCAAAACATTTAAACAATATCGTACAATGAGTGTGTGCAGACGTGCGCGTGAATATGCGTGCGTATGTGCGTGCACGCGTGCGTAGGCCTACGTTCGTGTGTGTTCGTACGTGAGTGTATGGGTATGTACGTGCGTGCGTATGTGAGTGTATGGGTATTGCGTGTGTGAGTGTAGGGGTAGTATTGCGTGCGTGCGTGCATATGTGAGTGTGCGGGTATGTTCGTGCGTGCGTATATGTGGGTGTGTGGGTATTGAGTGCGTGCGTATGTGCGTGTGTTCGTTTGTGCGCGGGTATTTGCGCGTTATGCGT